GGATTGTAAGGAAAACAAGATATATATGTATGTATGTATGTAGATATATATATATATATATATGTGTGTGTGTGTGTGTGTGTGTGTGTGTGTATATGTATGTATGTATGTATGTATATGTATAAAATGAACTTAAAATTGTATGCATATAATTGCAGACTATCCTGACTATGATAGGGAAGATGGAATATTCAAAATTACTACAGATGGCAGAAATGTAAGTTCAGGATGTAAGTCCTAAAATTTGTTGTAATAAATTAATTTTTAATTCTTGAATAGCAGGGATGGGGGATTGTAAGTGAGACAATCACATGGGTACTTCACTTAACGTCCATCATGATTTCTGACCGAATAGTCTCTGGTCATGGACTACCTTTATATTGTAAAACTTAGTAAGAATCACTAGAGTATAATGCAGCATGCTGTAATTTAATCAGAACATGTTCACATCTAATTTTCCACTCGAGCAATAAAAAAACTGGTGTACTGTACCACCTAAGCAAAAGGAGGATCTCACTTCATTATTTTAAGAGTGGTGTGATGCCTTCATTTTATCTATCTTGTTTGTATCACTAGCATGTAAAAGTTGTTCAATAGGTTTATTGCGGGACTAGTTTAATAATACATAACTATTAATAGCACTACGTCTTTTTCTTGGTAGCTTGCAAGATTCAGCTTTGGCTGTTCTCTTACTTCTTTATTTAGTGGTGGATGGAATCTCTTTACAAATAAAAATATCCAACGAAGCAGAATTGTTTCGGGTGATCATAAATTTGAGCCAAAGAATCTGAGCATTGATAAAGTATTGAAATGTTAATAAAAGTCTACTATACAGGTAGTCCTCGACTTATGAACATTTTGAGCCCAAAATGTTTGTTAAGTGAAACATTTGTTAGGTGAATTTTTGCCACATTTTACTATCTTTCTTTCCATAGTTAAGTAAATCACTGCATTTGATGGTAACCTGGTTGTTAAGTGAATCTGGTTTCCCCATTGATGTCACTTGTCAAGAGGTTGCAAAAGATGATTATGTGACCTTGGGACCCAGTAACAGTCATATGTATGAACCCTTTGCCAAGCATCTGAATTTTGATCAAATGATCATGGAGATACTTCAAGGATTGTAACTGAAAAACGGTCATAGCTCACTTTTTTCCATACCCTTGTAAATTTAATGGTCACTTAATGAACTGTTGTAAATCAAGGACTACCTGTATAAGTGTGTTGATTTTTGTCTGGGTGTCAGAAAATAACCTGGAAATATATCAGTTACTTGATAATGAAAAGAAAGACCATTTTAAAACATAAAGCATCTTTTATTTTATTTTTTGTGTATTTTTGCTTTTTCATAAAAGAATGCAACAAATGAAATCAACTCTGAGCTAAATCTTGATTCACTCTACTTTAAATGTATTGAGGATAATGCTGCTTCTGAGATCTGGAATACAGAACAACAAATCAAATTTCCCAACCAGTGTCAAATGTCTAATGAAAATCACATTTCTTTGGCTGATGTTTATCTGTCCCCCACTATTTGCAAAGAATCTGAACATGATCAACATACAACGAAAGGTCAGTAAAGTGCTAGGTCATTCAAATGTTCTGGCACCCATTCATCTTGCCATGCCAACTAGAGTAGTGATAGCAATAGCACTTAGACTTATATACCACCCCATATTGCTTTACAGTACTCTCTGTGTAGTTTAGAACCTCCGCATATTGCCCCTAGCAATCTGGTTCCTCATCGACCATGGAAGGATGGAAAGCTCACTTAAATTTGAGCCTGTCAGGATCAAACTCTTGGCTGTGGGCAGAATTAGCCTGCAATACTGCATTCTAACCTCTCTACCACCAGGGCTCTTAATACAAACTTTGATATGTTAATTGTAATATTCTTATGCATATGATATAAATTCTTTAACATGAAAATTTAAAGACAACATAACATTCATTTTTCAGAAGACCAGTCACATAATGTTGTATACCAAAATGAAGAGGGTAAATGGGTGACAGATCTTGCATATTATACCTCATTTGATAAAGAACAAAAATCCAATGTTTCAGACATAAGTGGAGACTTTATAACTGGAGGTAAATCTGATTATATTTTTATTTCTTTTACAATTTCCTACTAGTAAATTTATAATTCTAAAATAGCATCCATTTGCTAGCTCACACTTGAAATAATTAACTTCTGAATATCAAGAATTACTATGTTATTAGAAATAGTAATGAAACGTATATAAATCATACATGTAAAGCTTGGTAATTTTTCTTTGAACTAATCGTTAAAAAGTTTTATTACTAGAAACAATGTACTGAGTTGCTATATCTAGTATGCTAGGCAGATTATAATTCAGGTGTCAGTAAGAGAGTGGACATAAGTATGCTTTCAGAATAATTAAAACAAGAAATAAGTAAAATCACAAAATTACAAAGCTAATGTTTAATATTTACTTTTAAAAATACAGAATGAATTTTAAAATAGCTGCTTCAACAGGAAAACCTGGTTCACATGTGGAGACTATTTTAGGTTTTCAAAATGCACACAGTATTTGTTATGAGTACAGTGATACAGACAGGATATTCCAAATGGCTTAAATATTTCGGTGTTATTCCATAGATACCATATTTTTCAGAGTATAAGACATATCAGAGTATAAGATGCACCAAGATTTTGAAGATGCAAATTAAAAAAAAAGTTTTTGCACTCTGCAGATCTCCCCAAAATGCCCCATTTTTCGCAAAAATGGGCCCTTTTTTTTAAAAAAAAAGAGGGCATGAATAGCCTTTAGGAGGATTGTAGAGTGCTCCAGGAGGGGGGACAAGCAAAAAATCACCTGTTTTCCACTCATTTTTGCTCTCCCCAGCCTCCAGGAGCACTCTGGAAACCTCTTGAAGGCTATGCATGGCCATTTTGGTGAAGGAGGCAGGGTTTCGGTAGGCAATAAGTGCTGTATTCAGTGTATAAGATGCACCCCAGATTTTCAGCCTCTTTTTTGAGGGGAAAAAGGTGCATCTTATACTCCAAAAATATGGTATATTCTAGTAGAAATGAATATATACTGTATTTTTTAGAGTATAAGATAAACCTTAGTTTTGGGGGAAAAAAATAGGGGAAAAAAATTCTATTCATTTTTATCCCCATAGCACCAGAAAAGCAAGCAAACACAATAGTTTAATAAATGACACTTTTTGCCATTTCCCTCCATCTCCCCAGGAAGCCGGAGTGGGGGGGATCTTAACTAAATCTGGGCATTTAGCAAAAAGCACATAAGCACTTAAAATGTAACAAAGCTGAATCAACAAACCAGCCCAGTGCTTGCCTGAAGGAAACCATTGGGAAAACTCAGATAGCCAGATAGGAAAAATGCCTTCCCCTTAAAGGAATTATTCCCATAAGAATAGAAATCAGTAGCCACAGGAACTCTCTGCCTTGTCCTTGAAAGGATTATCTCCCCAAAATAGAAACTGGACAAAAGAAGTACCTCTTAAGGCAGTCTTCAAATCTTTAAGTGAATAAATGAGTGAAGCGCCTCATTAGGCCTGAAAAAAACACTTCCGAAAAGCTACATTTGGAGTATGACGCACCCAAATTTCCACCCTCTCTTAGGATGGAAATTTATGCTCCGAAAAATATGGTATATAGCAGTAATGGCGAACCTTTTGTGGCTCACGTGCCAAAAGCGGGGGGAGCGCAGGGGGGTCCTGTATGGTTGTGCCACACCCATAATGCTATGCGCACAACCTCAGCGTGCATGCGTACATGACCAGCGCTCCCCCCCATTTTTGGCTTGCTTTTTTCGCCCTCCCCAGGCTCCAAAGACTTTATAGGAGCCTGAGGAGGGCGAAAACAGCCTCCCCCCAGGAGGCCCTCCGAGGGCTTCTGGAGCTTCCCTGAAGCCTCCTGAAAGTTCCGGAGGGCTAAAAGTGGCCCTATGAGCAAACCGTAAGTATGATGGCGAAAAACGGCCTCAAAAGAAGGCCGAAGTCAGCTGGCCTATGCGCACATGTGCGCTAGCCAGCTGACAGGGCAACACCTCATGTGCCCTGACAAATGGCTCTGTGTGCCACTTGTGGCACGCGTACCATAGGTTCACCATCAAGGGTATATAGTATAGATATTCTAGTGTACAATAGCTAGTATATTCTAGTAGAAATGAAAGAAAATAATACCTGTTCTTTTTATAAAGCTTATATAGGAAGTTATAAGAAATTATAAGAAGTTATAAGAGTGTCAAGTAAACTCTTGGGCTTCTGTTATAATTTGGCTTTAATTTTATGTTAAGTATTCTCTTTTTCTCTCTCTCTTATTCCTCCCCCAACCTTTCCCAAAAGCTGAAGCAATAGCTATGATTGCCCAAGATCAGGAAGTATTTGAAAGGGAACACAGATTTATACAGGTAAGTAACATCAACATTAAATAGATACATTCTATAATATTTGTATTAAAAACCTAAAGATAATTTTTGGTATTTTTGTGTTTTGTATAATTTCAGGAAGAGAAAATGGACCTGCAAAATACATCTGGATTAGAAGATGCATCTTGGAAATCAGTTAATAACCATAATATATTAAGAGACTCTCAAAATGACTTTAATAGAGATGCAAGTTATTTACGACTTTCTCTGGGAGAATTCTTTGGTCAGAAATCTGAGGCTCTTGGTTGTCTTGGTGGAAGTGGTGATGTGAAACGGGTACATATATAGCTGCTTTTATATACAGGAGACACATATGTGTTTTTGCATTGTTTTTAGTTAAAATTATTATAGTTTGTTGGCAGATTATTAAAAATAAAGAAGATTCATTTGAAGGGTTATGGGCAAGACAGAATTCTTAGCTTATATAAACAATTTGACATTTGATATTGCTAGATTTAGTCCATACATTTCCCTAAATGTATTGCTTTCACTGTATCTTTTTATAGCCATCTTTTGGTTATCATATCACTTCTCCAAAGAAGAGACAGCCCATAGCTTTGTTGAGGCAATCTGATATATATTCAACAAACTCTGGTGAACAGGATTTGAATATTTCTAGTAATTGTCAAGGTAATTTCTACTTTAAATATAATAATATTTATTGTATGTTTGAATGTATTGATTGTATTTCACTTCTGAATATTTGTTTATTTTGCAGTATTGGCTATCTCCTTTCACCAACCCTGGAGAGAAAGCTTAGATTTTTTCTAATGTTACTCATTGTGATGTGAAGGGAATAGCATCTTTCTTCAGTTCTAGCCAGTTCTAGTCTTGTCTTTCTTTAGGAAACAGAAATCTTCAATAGTTGGGGCAATTGCCCTCATAACCATAACAATTAGAATAGCTAACCCATTCTCAATTTTGCTTTATTTTTTTATTATTTTATTTTAGTGTTTTATAGGGTCTTATGGCCAGCAAGTACATGGATAATAACTTACTGTCCATGGACACAGATTTCTCTGATAGCCAACCATTGATACTAGGTCCCAGTGACATAGGGTTATTTCCTGTTAGTACTTAGCTTCATTCCCTTCAGGGAAACATAATTAGTGCTGTAGCTGCTGATTTACTGGGAATGAGCTGTATGCTGTTTCTGGTGTGCAGTAAGCTCGTCAGTGGTCCTTTGGGAAGCTGGATGGTTCAGACACTGGAATGAATGGAGGCTAGCAGTGCCAGCCAGTCATCTCTCCCTTCTGATCCTTTAGAAAAAGAACAGTGAAAGGACACTAGTACCATATTTTTTTCAGAAGCACTGTTCTCTATGGTTGCATCTATTATTCCTAGATATACTACTCTGGAAGGAGTATAAATCCTTCTATTCTTCACCTTCCATTCAGAGCTGAAGAAGCTTCTTGGATGAGAAGTGAAACATTTTCAAAGAAAAACACAAAGTCCAGTTGCCTCTTGTAAAAAAGCACCTTTGGGATGTCTATAGTAGACTTTTATTTAAAAGATAGTATATTTGTTAGATAACCTTGAATTGTTACTAAACCCTTTCCCAAAGAATCGTATTAATCTGACCTCAGAGAGACTAGTTTCTTGGATTTTTCATTTTTAGTCCTAATTAGAGAAGTCAGACTTTTTTCAAACTGTTACTTGCAGTTTGTAGAACCAGACTATGGCACAGCACCATATTATATTCCTTGCCTAATCAGATGTAGAGCTTCCAATATGAATAGAGGCTAATGATGGAAATAACTTTTTTGCATGTTCCCCTAGTATTAGGGGAATTTTAATTGTGCTATAAAATTGGTGCCTATCTCACAATTTATATCATATTCAGTATGTTTTCATGAGATTATTCTGTTATTTCTCTCATTTCACAAAGGTGATGGTGACTATTGTTGTCACCTCAAATTTTGAGCAATACATGCGTAAGCCTAATAGGTTAATCTGTTAATCCTCTCCTCATGGGTCACATACCAAGAATCAGGCTCTCCTTTGTCTATTATAAGAAATACAGTACATAGGATGTACACATAGACTTTTTTTGTACAGCATAAGCAAGGATTCCACCCCCTTCAGGACAATTGCAGGCGTTGGTGCAGATTTTCTCACATATATCCCTTTCTGAAGACCTTGGAGTTCTTTTTCTTATTGCCATTCCAAAATTGGGAAAGAGCTATATTTTTTTTACAGAAATTAACATTAAAAGATATATAGGTCAATAGTAATTGGAAAGAGATACAGCCCCTTCTATGATATGCAGTNAGTCAACCCTGAGCCGGTGAGATTTGAACCACTGACCTGCTGATCTAGCAGTAGCCTGCAGTGCTGCATTTAACCACTGCGCCACCTTGGCTCTTGAATTCCCATACAAAATGCATACATGTTTATTGCCCATTTGTTCCCCCATCCATTTCTCCCTAGTCTTTTTCCATGTATAAGTATTCCCATTAAGGACTGCACGTTGAATTAAGTTTGTCAGCCAGTTATGAATTCGTCTGGTAGTGATGCTATCTATCCCACACTTTTTAAAACTTACTAAAAAGTAGGTTCTAGTCTACTTTGTCAAATGCCTCATTGAAGTCCAAGTATACTATGTTCAATCCAGAGTATTGTGCTTGGCCATAATTTAGTCATTATGTCAAAGAATCAAATAAGATTTGTTTGGCATGATCTGTTTTTGACCAAACCATGTTTGTTTCTGATTATAATTTTGTTTGCTTCTAGGTGTTCGCAAACTTGATTAGGCTTTCCAGAGTCTTCTCAGATATTGATGTCAAGCTGATTGGTCTGCAGTTTCTTGGATCTATTTTTTCCTCTTTTTGAACATGGGAACCACATTAGTTCTTTTCCAGTCGTCTGATAATTCCCTGGTACTCCAGAACCTTTGAAAAATATGGTTCAATGGTTCCAAGATCACGTCTGCCAGTTCTCTCAGACCTTTGAGATATAATCCATCACATACTGATGATTTGAAATCATCTAGGGAGAACAGGTATTTTCTTGTCATTTTTTGCATATTTTAATTTGTATTATTAATCTGTATTTTATAATTCCATTTTTGGTACATTGGATTACTTTTTCTTTTTGCATGAAGATAGATGCAAAGAATGAATTAAACTGCTCTGCTTTCTCCCTGCTTCCTGTTACTTCCTTGCCATCTCCCTGCTTTAGTGGATTGATTGTTTTCTTGACTATTTGATAATCTTTGCACTTGATTATTTTAGTAAGGCTGTTAGCTGTATCTTTGATTTTTGCTGCAGACAGACAACATATATCCTAGATTGATTGTTCTATCTACAGACTGCTGTTAAGTAACATCATTACTGGTAGTGAGTGTGGGGTTCATTCACTATTTATATACAGGAGCCCAACTTTGTGTCTGATTGTATATGTTTGTGCATATGTGTATAGTTTCTGCTTGCTAGTTCCTTGATTGGGATATTGCTTTCTGTTTGCTTGTCAGTTGTTAATCCTTACTTATCTGGGTATTGGCTACTGGAGGGGATGTGTTCTGGTCTTTTATACTTCTGACTTAGTTTTTTCCCCTCTCATTTCAATGGCATGTAAATATGGCTTATTCTATTATCTATTTTTAATCAGTGATGGAAAGAGAATTGCAAATTCTTCTAAGCATCAATAATTTAAAAAGTTTCAAGATCAGGAATGTGCAAAATCTTTATGAAGATGGTCCAATGTTCCCATACTAATTACAGTTGCTAATTAGAGAGATGTGTGTATGAAGCTGAATGCACAAGTATTCCTCAATTATGACCACAATTGAGTCCAACATTTCTGTTGTTCAATGATAAATTAGTAATCCTGGTAATTAACTGAATATGGCTTTCCCATTGTCTTTGCTTGTCAGAAGGTTGCAAAATGTGATCACATGATCTTGGGACACAGCAACAGTTATAAATAAGAACCAGTTGCCAAGCATCTGAATTTTGATTACATGATCAAGGGGATGCTAGAAAATTCATAACTTTGAAAAATGGTCATAATGACATTTTTTAGTGCCATTGTAACTTTGGACAGTCACTAAAGGAACTGTTGTAAGTTGATGACTATCTTTATATAGTTTTACATGTATGTATGTAGATGTGTGTAGTATGTATATAATTCAGAAATCTATCTGATATATGACAATCCTAGCAGTGGTGAAATTCAATTTTTTTTACTATTGGTTTGGTGGGCATGGCTTGGTGGGTGTGGCAAGGGAAGAATATTGCAAACTCTTCATTCCCACACTATTCTGGGGCTAGCCAGAGGTGGTATTTGCCAGTTCTCTGAACTACTCAAAATTTCCACTACAGGTTCTCCAGAATCTGCTGAATTTCACCCCTGAACCCTAGGCAACTCACATAAAAATAGAAATTTAAATTTAGAAAAGATACAAAAAACATCTAGATTTTTAAAATAATTTTTATTAAAATTATATAAAATACATAAAAATGAACACAAATGAATAAAGAACAAAAGCAGGCAATCAAACAAGGAAAGCAAAAGTGAAGAAAGGAAGAATAAGAAAGTAGAAAGAAGCTTAGCCGAGGAGATTGCAAAAGAACACATTTTTTCTCCTCCCTTCTTGCTGCCTCTCGCACCTCACAAAACAGCAATATGGCATCTCTGCCTCCCTTCCTCCATTCGGAACCTCCGGTAAATCGTGGGCCGGGTTCTTGAAATGGTTTGAATGTTTCCTTATTGCCTCCAAGAATCACAACTTGTCACCTGAAGAGAAATGCAGTTTTTTTCTGAGCTGTTGTGGCCCGGAGATGTTTGCCTCAGCCAGAGCCCTGGCCTCTCCATTGCTGGTGTACCAGCTCAATTGGGAGACCTTGATGACCAAGCTTTGCAACCACTATGCTCCAATGCTGTCACGGATTGCCCGTCGCTATGTATTCAGACAATGTATTCAAAAAGAATCCGAGACTGTGAGTCAATTCCTCCAGTCTCTTCGTATGGTGATGATCCAGTGTGAGTTCATCGATCTAGACAACTCACTGGTGGAGCAATTCATCTGCGGCATCAAAGACCCTCGCCTGAGGCGCCGTTTGCTGGCATGGGCGGAGATTACCTTGCAGCAAGCCGTGGATGAGGGCAGAGCCGCGGAGCTCTCCGAACAGTCCACGGCTGACATGCAGCAGCTCCAAATGCCTCCTCCTCCTGTCCGTGCCTGCCTCATAGATGAACTCGTCCGCTTAGACGAGCTGGAGGACAACCACGTAGACCTTTTGAGGGCCCAGCCCAGCGCCTGCCACCTCAGCCAGCCAGCTCTGCCACCTCTATCTGCCTGGGCTGTGGGAGCAAACATGCCTGGTCTGTTTACCTGTTCAAGGCCTCGGTCTGCCGCAGATGCGGGAAGAAGGGCCACCTGGCACAGGTCTGCCATGCCACCTTGTCAGCGCCCTTCCAGCAGCCACCTGCCCAGCAACCACTGGTGGTCCCACTGGCGCAGCCTCACCGCCAGCAGGACCACCGACCACAGCGGCGGGATGAAGATTGCTTCATGGTGTCCCTTCCAGAAGGCCCCTCGGAGTCAGTCAGCAAAGCGACGGCTGACTCCAAGAAGATATCTGTGTCCCTGCTCCTAGAAGGGAAGCCCTGCCTGATGGAGGTTGACTCTGGATTCTCTTGCTCCCTGCTGTCATGGGCCTTGTTCACTCAGCTGTGCCCAGCCATTGGCCGTGACCAGCTGGCACTACCATCCTGCCTGCAATGGCCGCGCGGAACAGGCTGTCCGCTTGGCCAAAGAGGCACTTGGCAGGATGGAGCTGGGTGACTGGCCAGCAAGGGTGGCACCTTGCCTTTTAGATCAGCACTTCACCCCTTGCCCTACTAACAACAAAAGCCCCTCTGAGCTCCTGATGGGTCAGCACCTGCGAACCCTCCTGGATAGGCTTCCTTGCAACCTGGGGGCTCCTCCCCACACTTTTGGGGTGGGGGATTTGGTTTGGGCTAGGTCCTTTTCAGGGGACCCGAAGTGGGTACCTGCCACCATCACTTCTGTAACTGGTCCCTGCTCTTATAGAGTCTCCCTTACCGATGGCACCGAATGGAGGAGCCACGTGGATCAGTAAAGGAGACTACATCCCCTCGAGGCCAGCATGCCAACTGATCCAAGAAGCCAGGCCACCGTCGCACACCAGCCGGTCGCCGTTTCTCCCGGTTTGAGGCCTTCTCACAACCAGGCCTCTCCTACCCTGCTGCCGCCTGCCGGCAACCGTTACCAGTTACTACTCAAGCCGAGTTTGTTCCCATTGCTCCCCCATTTGAGGCCTTCTCATAACCAGGCCTCTCCTACCCTACCGCCGCCTGCCAGCAGCAGTTGCCAGTTCCTCCTCAAACCAAATTAGTGCCCCCCCAGGTTTTCCCTGTCTGCCTAATACAGGCCAATCTGGCCTCAGTAGCCTCGCCACCGCCTACTGGCAGTAGGGTTTGGTTCCTCCTTCTGGTGTTTCACCCTGGGCCTACGTGGTTCATTGTGCCCGTCTTCTGGGCATGTCCAAGATGGCATCACCCGGAGCTCCACTCCCTTCTGGGAGGAGCTTCCCTGGGCACCTATTACCCGTCCAATGACTTCTCTCCAACTGAGACATTCGGGGCAGGGTGGGCGTCGCCCCGCCTACCTCAGCAAGTACGTCTGCGTTATGACTTTAGACTGCTCTCAATCTAGAGAGATTAAAGAGTTTTCTGTCTGATCTGGTCCAGAGATAAATACCCTCTGTTGCAGTTCCAAAAGCATGTTTCAGCATGACAGCAAAAAAGATCCCAAATAGCATTGGTGTGGGGATGCAGCCCTGCTTCACTCTACTTCGAATATCAAAGAATCTGATGTTAAGCCATCAAAGACTACAGTGCCATTCATTTTTTCATGAAAGGACCTGATGATGTTGAGGAGCTGAGATGGACATCCAATCTTGGCGAGAATTTTATAAAGGCTGTCCCTACTAACCAAGTCAAAGGTCTTCATAAAATCTATGAAGGCTATGAAAAATGGCTGTCTTTGATCCCTGCATTTCTCCTGCAACTTTCTAAGGGAAAATATTATGTCAGTAGTGGACCTGTTGGCTCGGAATCCACACTCTGATTCTGGATAGACTTTCTCTGGAAGCACCTGGAGCCTCTTCAGTACAATACAGGCAAGCAGTTTCCCTACAATGCTAAGAAGAGAGATGCCACAGTAGCTGTTACAGTCACCCCTGTCACCTTTGTTTTTATACAGTGTGATGATATTTGCAAACTTCATGTCCTGAAGTACTCCACCTTCCCTCCAACAAAGACAGAAGATTTCATGTAGTTCAGTGGGTATGTTCTCTTTGCAGCACATCAGAACTTTGGCTGGGATGTTGTCTTTCCTGGGTGCCTTACTGGAGGCAAGGGAATCCAGGGCCGCATTTAGTTTTTGCAAAGTTGGTTCATTTAGTTCTTGCAAAGTTGGTTCACTGTCAAGCTCCTCCAACTCAATGTTGTTTAGTGCTTCTTCAGTTACCACATTTTCTCTGGAGTATAACTCAGAGTAGTGATGCAGCCAGTGCAGCCAAGCTGTGCTTGGTCCTGGATAACCTTTCTCTCCTTAACAGATTCTGAGTCTGACAGCCTTGTCTCTTGGAGGGCAACAATGTTCATCTGCAGTCTGCTCAGCTCCATGTCAATGACAGTTGTCTTATGTATGTCATCTATTTCTTGCAAATTGTTGGAAAGGCCAGGGGTCAGTATCCAAACATTCCAATTGCCCAGCTTTAGGGATAATTATAATGGTACGATATATACACTTGTATATTTTTGAGCTTCTGTTGAAGTGGAAGCTTCTCATCCACTACTGTTGTTCTTTGGTAATTTGACCTTTCTTAGAATGGTCACTGAGAGTTCTTGTGATCCATTTACCTAGTTTTTGAATTTTGTTAGTATTCACTGGGATGAAAATTTCTTTGTTTTCTAGTATTTCTTTTGCTTTTTGTGAATATTATGTTCTGTCCATAATAACTGCAGTTCAGCTTTTGTCTGTGGGTAGGATGATGCTGGTCTGATCCTTTTTTAGGTTTCTGAGAGCTGCTTTGTCTTCTGTTATGAATTGATTCTGTTCTTGACTTCTGGTCTATGGAATGATGGTCTGGACCTTACCCACTCTCATGGCCTTCAGGAAAGCCGTTAAAACCTGGATGTTCCGGCAGGCCTGGGGCTGTTGACCTTAGTGTTAAGGTCCAGCCCCGATTGGAACGTATGTGTGTTGTGAATTTTAAACTATTTTTTTTACTTATTTTGCTTTCTTTTTTTCTTCTTTCGTTGTAAGCCGCTCCGGGATTGGGCAGCCTATAAATTTAATAAATGAAATGTAAATGAAATACATGATGTTTTCTTAGACCTCTGTGGGAAGTTCAGTAACTTTATATGCTCCATCTAGGACTGCAAAGAATTCCAGGTAATTGGCATCACCTGTGTTACAATTGAGTCCTTTGTGTAGAATACCGTGTTCTACAGTGGCTAGCAGATAGCTCAACATGTTGAGCACCAATTAAGGTGCTTCTTTGTTTCTGGAATTGAATGAGGAATTTACTTTACAGCTTGGCTTTATTTTTTCCAGTATATCGCTGGGAAGTACTCATGATATTAGAGTCCAGTCACTCTATGTGATCTGTGTCAAGACTGATTTGCACTTTCACCTATATTCTATTTCATGTGGGTGGCCTGTAATGAAAAGGGGAATTAATTATACTTGTTTTGCATGGGAAACTCAGAGCTGGTTTTGCTTCTTCTGTGCTGATGTAGTTTAATCAGTAAAGTTTATACTCTTGGTAAAATGATGTCCCAGGATATTCTTTTTCTGAATTTGCCAGTTGGATAGTTGACCCTCTGATGTGATGGTCTGTTCCAATTACTTGAGATTTGCTATGGTGTGCAGATATTTGTTTAATCTGAGGTATGCATCTGTAATCAAGAACTGTATCATATTTTTGCCCAATTTCTTTTGCCCAACTGTCCAGTTGGGCACCAAGTTGTTTCTTGGTGAAAACTTGACTACAGGTAAATATTTTCCTATCTGTGTGTGTTCTGAAGCATTTGATGCCCTTATGTGACACCAATAAAGGAGAATATTTGTAGCTCAGGTTTGAAATGAGGGGTCCACTGAGCTTACTTGTTGGAACGTTGAAACATTTCTTTACCCAATCTAGGTATCATCAGTGACAACACCAACATTGACAGAAATATAAACTGAGAGCAAACCCCATTCCTTACTAGCATTGATGATATTACCTAGTTTGGGTAAGGAAATATCTGTAAGAAAACAACCAAGATCAGAACATCAAGGACCCCCTCATTTCATCCCTGAGGTACAAATATTCTCCTTTGCTGAATGTTATGCACCGTTCAGCATCTCCTATAAAGAAATGAATCTATCTTATAATAATGCAAGAAATTCCCTTAATGCTATTTAGAGTTTTCAGAAGATGAGTTTTGGAAAAGTAAAGATGAATAAATTTCGGTTCAGAAATGTGTTTAAACCTTTTCTGATACAAAAGAGAAAGAGCAATAATCATGGCTTAAAATAGATCTGGTAAGGATCTGACTATTTGCACAAAAAGGTAAGATGTAGATCAAATAAATAAATAAAATATTATTGCAGTTCTTAAAAATGCAAAATTGTAATGTTACTCATATCCCATAAATACCCTCTCCAGTATTTTAAAAAAGAAAGAAAACTTACAGCTACTAATAGACAGAGTTAAGGTTTTTTTTTTTTAAATGCACTATTTTGGTCCAATGTTTGTAGAGAAATAAAGGTTATACCTTTTATGCTTCCTTTTGAAAAATATCATTTGAGTTCCAATTTTTGGCAAACATGGTTATTTAATTTTTCAAGCATTCCTGCAATCAAAGAATAACATGTAAGGATGTGGATGGCGCTGCTTTATTACTAAAATCTGTGAGAGGTTTGTGTGGTTTTCTTCTGTTTACTTAAGAAGTTGCAAATTTAGCCTTGAAGGTTAGGCCTTTAATAAGGTTTACCCAGGACTGACATCCTGATTTAAATTTAGCATTCTTCATTACAGCTGGAAAGGATGCCATAAAATAGACTGATTAAAAAGCTTTTTAGATATACCCAATACCAGACAAGGGCTGTCCAAACTGTTCTTAATAGCCTTTAGTGAATGGAGTATCCACAATTTCTGAAGACAAGCTGTTCCACTGGTTAATTGTTGTCATAGTCAAGAAATTTCTCTTT